CATATACAGGGTGACTCAAAAAAATTAATGAATGCGTAAATATATTTTATTGATTTAATCAGGAACTACAAAACCGAATGCTCTGAAATCTTGCAGATGTTTTAAGGTCATAAAGAGCATAATAAATGTTTAGTCAAAATATATTTGCTTATCCCCTCCAAAAACTTGATGACGTCAGCTCGAAAGTTTGCCGAATAAATCATATCTAAAATGTACAAAATATGATGAGCCTGTACTTGTCATTTATCACTCCATTCATATTTTTTGGATTTGCATATACAGAGTGACTCAAAAAAATTAATGAATGCGTAAATATATTTTATTGATTTAATCAGGAACTACAAAACGGAATGCTCTGACATCTTGCAGATGTTTTAAGGTTATAAAGAGCATAATAAATGTTTAGTCAAAATATATTTGCTTATCCCCTCCAAAAACTTGATGACGTCAGCTCGAAAATTTGCCGAATAAATCATATCTAAAATGTACAAAATATGATCAGTCTGTACTTGTGATATATCACTCCATTCATATTTTTTGGATTTGCATATACAGGGTGATTCAAGAAAATAAATGAAAGCGTAAATTTTTTTACTGATTTACTCAGGAACTACAAAACCGAATGCTTCGAAATCTTGAAAATATTTTAAAATTATCATAAGCATGGTAAATTTTTGATCAAAACGTATTTGGTCGTCCCCCCTAAAAAATTTATGATGTCACCACAAAATTTTGCTGAAAAAATCCTATCTAAAATGTACAAAATATGGTGAGTCTCTTCTTGTGATTTATCATTCCATTCAAATTTTTTCGATTTGCATATACAGGGTGACTCAAAAAAATTAATGAATGCGTAAATTTATTTTATTGATTTAATCAGGAACTACAAAACCGAATGCTTTGAAATCTTGCAGATGTTTTAAGGTTATAAAGAGCATAATAAATTTTTAGTCAAAATATATTTGGTTATCTTCTACAAAAAACTGATGACGTCAGCTCAAAAGTTTGCCGAATAAATCGTATCTAAAATGTACAAAATATGATGAGTCTGTACTTGTGATTTATCATTCCAATCATATTTTTGGATTTGCATATGCAGGCTGACTCAAAAAAATTAATGAAGGCGTGAATTTATTTTATCGATTTAATCAGGAATTACAAAACCGAATGTTTTGAAATCTTGGGAATATTTTAAAGTTATTATAAGCATGGTAAACTTTTGTTCAAAATGTATTTGTTCATCCCTCCTAAAAAAATTGATGACGTCACCCTTAAATTTTGCTGAATAAATCCTATCTAAAATACAAAAAATATGATGAGTTTGTTCTTGTGATTTATCATTCCATTCATATTTTTTAGATTTTCTTAAGAGGTGGTTCAAAAAAATTAATGAAGTCAATTTATTTTATTGATTAAATTAAAGGCAACACTTATTATTAGTATTACACCGCAACCAACCCAATTTGGTGGACACAAAATTTGTTAAAGGAAAAACTCGGTTGAAACATAAGGGTAGCACGCTTATTTACATCGACTTTAACATTACAGACCTGCATTTGTTTTATTTGCTCACTTGGTTCCGCGAATGTGAAATAGACATGTTTATAATCAACCAATTGTGAATTTCACCGTCAAGAATTAAAATAAAACCTAATGTTTTATATAATAAGCGGAAGTCGAAGCAATAAAACCGATGGTCGTTTTGTTTACAGTTTCTCTGTTTGACTCTCACGTATGCTGTTACGCCTGTCATCTTAAATTAAGAATGTTTATACATACACGATTTTCAGTTGCCTCTGATACGTATACGTGAGTAAATTGTTTCGTTATTTTATTGATTATTACAAATCAATATTCAAAACGACCCAATTCATTTTCCCGAAAATTTGAGAATATAATAATTTTATTCTTAGTATTACACTACATCTATCCCAACTGATATACGTGTCCTTGCAAAAATGTTGATGACGTCATCGCAATTTTTTTTTAAATTCCCACTACAAAAATGTAATGAGAAAAAAAACACAATAGGCATGCAGTCGTCAAGTTTCCGACAGCGAGGGAAGTACTGTCTAAACTCTTTAGACCAATTTTTTTATCTAAAACGGCAAATGATACATTGTTTATTATGAATAAATTCTAAAACAGAAAATTTTAGTTAGCTTTGAAAATACTGTCATTGATTTGCCAGTGTGTTCTGAAAAGCAAATTTCTAAAAGTTTCAAAAACACTGCATTAATATATATAATAATATAATACTATTTAATAATTAATATAATACTATTTATCGTTTTCTTCAAGAAAAATGGAAATGCCTTAGCATATTTTTCTTTGCTTCCGCACATTATTTATTATATATATGCATGTGGCGAAACGTATATATCAAGAGACTCTTCTTTAACCACATGTGCACGTACTATTAATTTGTTGTTAATATTGATTTTACTCTTTCTTACAAAAATTTGGCCCAAACTGCCGGCATTTCTTACTATAGCCTTGTCGTGCTTTGAAATGCTTCAAATTTTTACTGTGTGCTCTATATATGGTGAAATGTTCAAAGTGACATTTATTAACGTAACAAAACTACTACTTTGGTATTTTTTTATATTATTGCTACCCCTTATATTGATTTACAATATAATTTTTGATAATTTCGAAGCGGAAAATTTGCCGAAATCGATCGTAAATATTTTTTCACTACTTCTTGGAGGCGCAGACTCTAACATTGTATGTAATACAGCAGATGCAATCATCTATCTACTTTTAATCATTATACTACCAATATCACTTTCTAATTTAATTTTGGGAAAAGCTGTGAATGACATAAAGTTGTTGGAACAACAATCGGATGCGCAACGTCAAAAAGCAAAACTTCAATTTATATATCGTACTGACATGTTAGTGAGATGTACTAACATGGTTATAAATTGTATAAGAAGAAGAAAAATAATAACAAAAAAAAAACAACAGTACACCATGTTTGGTCTCAGCACCCATCAATTCTCGTAAAACCCCAGGCCGCACTAATTTTATTTGCAAAAACAGAAACGACAATATATTATTTGACGAACTAATTATCGAAAGTCTTAACCTATTTTTCAGTAAAAAAAAGAAGTCAATTTATGTTTTTTCAGGATATTTGGAAATTAATGTTGCGAAAGATAACAACGACAAACCATGAATTTAATAATTCCTCATATCATACTTTGTTACTTTGACAATTGCGAAAGTAGTGTTCTGGAAACTTTTTAAATTAGTCGTATGGTAATTTTTATAAATTTAATAATTATCATAATTTCTATTCATTATTTTTATTTAATATTGTTCGCTTATTGTTATTGGGTATTTTGTAAAAGTTATCATTCTTCCTTTTGTATTTTCATTTCATGTAATTGGGTGTTTATCCATTGGGAATAAACGCATTATTATTATTATTATTATTGAGACAATTTTGTTTCATTATTCATTTAAATTTATAATTTTAAACAAAATTGTCCGAAATAAATGACAACTTCTAGTAAATGCCTCTTAGCTGTTAGTCACGTTTTGTTGTAAAGTTTTTGTAACCAGGTCTTATTGATAATAAAAATCTTGATTGTAAATTTTTGTTCTATCTTACTGCTTTTTTCGCCTTTTCATAGATGATGGTATTAAAATTGTTGTGACCATTAAAATATCCTTATCCTCTTAAATATTTAACTTACATGAGAAAGTTATTGGAATTTAAAAAACACATATTTTTTTTTACAGAATACAACAGTTTTTAACATTAGCACAACCACATGGAGAAACAGCTTAAGAAACTTCGCCAAATGAAAACTTTACTATCAAGATTTTAAACACTTTTGAGTCGAAATTAAAACAAACAATTCCCAAATAAATCATGATTGTCTACAAATATTTAGAGGAGTAAAATAATGTAGCAAACTGGCGACATGAGAATGCACTCAACATCATAAAAGCAGATACCTCTAGAAAGATTTTGCCACCTAGGTTGCTCAAAAAGAATAAGTCCAGAGAAAAATAAAATCGTGTGCTCGTCACTCTATCTCTTTTCAAAAAGTTTAATACAGAAATTGTACACTTATTAAATACAATTGGTTTAAGAAATGCGAGCAGTGGTCCTAGTCCTATATAGACCCAGAGACCAGACATGTGCGTAATTGAAAACATTTATGAAGTTACGACTTTGAATAAACCAAGAATTAATACAACGCTCGACTCTTTCGTCGAGAAAATCACAAAGGCAAACCCGGCGCTGGTTCCAAAATTGTACTTGAAATAAGTAGTCGAGAAAACTTTGGAAATTTACTCTTACATTATTCTGTTATTTTATTTATCTTTATTTATGAATTTTTGTTACGTTGTGTATGTACTTTTTAAAGACACAGTGCAGCTCAGATTCGTTCATTTTGAAAATTGTTGTTTATCTATAAGAATTCTCTGTCAACACATATTTGTTAGCTCATAATTTATTATACGAAACATTTATGGTAAAATGTTCAAAGTCGTGCTTTTTGATGTTGTGGTGTTAGATGATTCATCTAGAGAGATTTTTACACTTAATTATGGACTTAAACAGAGTCAAACATTTGAATTTAATTTTCGACAGCACAAAAAAAGGTTGCTGTTTTATCCGGCTTTTTAAACAGAAGGATACGGGTGAAAACAGACCAAAATAAAAATAAAAGTTGTAGATAATAACGGTTACGAATACGAAACACGGGTTTGACAATCCCTCCCTGGTGTGTTTCTATTTTATACATAAAATTTTGCTCACCGACAGTTTTGGAAATTTTATTTCATAATTCATTTACAAATAATATTACAACTTCAAAGAAAATTGTCCAAAATAGACAACAACTTCTAGAATTTGCTTTAGCCCCCTAACAACTATCAACAAAAATTCTCTAAAAATATGTTCAAAACACATATGAAACTACAGTCTTCGGAAAGTAATACGAAAGCTCCACATGTTCGTCTTTTTCAAACAAAAAACGGAACGCTTACATTGGATATATTACACAAACATTACACAAAAAAATATTCTTGGCGTACACGTTAATTTACAGATATGTGATGGTATGTCTTAACCTATTCGACTAGTTCTTCGGATGGACAGATTACGCTCATGTAACCGTTAATGTCTTCTGGTGTCAGCTGTCGGATGGCCACTGTTGCAGAATTATCGAAAGCTCCACTCGAAACCAAACGGATGGTTGTAGTTTCGCAAGCGATGATCTCGACGTGTTTTCCTAAAATTAACGATCAATAATTAGATCAAAAAATTCAATTTGTTTAGTTAATTCTTGTTGATTAGCGAAGTTTGTCTGTTATTTCCTATTTTATCTATATCTAGATCCACGTATTTATCTGCCGCGGGTGGCAGTTATCCCCGTCCAATATTCATTTCCTGCGCCTATTTCCCCCCTGTTCGCTATCTAACAAAAGCTCCAGGTTAATGCTTACGTTAGGGCGGTTTATTGGTCTATTTTGGTCGTACACCGGGCGATACAATAAATTTAATTAAGAAGATGCTTTATCTAACTAACCTGGTTTGGAATCCAGTCCGCAAACAGAATCTGCGAGGAGAAGATTGGCATTGTCCAAGCCGCGAGAGCCTCCAACTTGAAGAAAGTCGTCCAAACCACGTTTTTGACACTGTAATGGAAGCTCAAATGAGATTAAAAAAATCGGATTTATGATTTCTTAAAAAAAGAAGAAGAGTCTAAATTAAATCATAACTTAACAGTTGCTTTTCAAATAATCTCTGTCGTTCAATGCATGACTTTATCATTTACATAACGCACCCCTACCACCAACCATCTGTACATGACACGTCACAACAACATTACCTATTTATATGTAAACAACTGCTCTCTGATTAAGCTATTTATTCTGACATGCAATACCTGCGACCGCACCTTATGGATGGTGCCTGTTTCGAGTTCAATTCCACGTCCTAGACTTGGGACAACTCCAATATTCAAAGAAGCCACCCTTACTGCTGCCGGAAACAGGGTGCTGACGCTACAGTTTGATCTTTTTCCGTAATTTCGCAAAGTATAAATATCTTCGGTGGATTGAAATAGAACGTTGCAGGCTAAAAATAGAAAAATATATATTTGTACAGCAAAGGGAAAAGTCGGGAAAATATGGATCATAATTCATAAACAACTCACACCGGCCGGCTACAGACACGATTTTATACAAAATTAATTGGAAAAAACGTCGGTCGGGGTATGAAAGTTGGTAATTGCGAAACCCTAAGTCTTACTAGGGAAAATTCACATTTTGGTACGTGTAAGGTCAGGTCTGATGAGGAATTTAGCAGCGGTAAATTTTTCGGTTTTGTGGAAGCGTTTAGCTGAAATTTCAGGAGCTGGTATTATCTGATTAGATTTAAAGCTGAATAAAACAGGTATTTGTTTAAAGTTTCGTTTCTTGTTGTTGTAAGAAATTTCAGAATACAAAAATATATTAAATATTTTATTTTATCGTGAAACGAATTTTGGTTGTGTAATTACTAAACGGAACACATTTTAATTAAAAAATAATTTTGTGGCTACAAAATTTTTATTATTTCGAGGAAATGAGGAACCTTCTACTGTCAGACTGGTGGGAAATTCGGTATAAGTTCAAACCTTCTGTTTGCCTTCCGTGTACATATTTACATATTACATATTTTGGCAACTTGGGATCAAGTAGCGACGTTAGATTAGATAGGAAAGTTTAAATAGAATAGATTCCAATTTCCACCCACATCATTAATTATTTCAACATTTTCCACTTGTTTATTACCGATTTTTGAATTTAACTCCACGCATTTTTTTTTTTTTTGTATAAAACAATTTTCATAATTACTTTGTAAACTAAAGAGTAACAGGAACATATGGCGCCCGGACCTCTATTAACAAAGTTTATTCGAAACTACAGTTTTGCAGACCTTCGATCTGCATAATAAATTTTGTAGCCTAGGGTTTACGTCGATTTTGAACTAGTCTGTTTTATCTTTTTCTTCCAAAGTACAAGCTGACATTTCTATTTGTCGTTCGTGTGTCTGTCAAAATTTGTTGCACATCTTCTCCAAAACATTGATGACGTCATCGAAAACTATTTTTAAATAAAAGATACAGAACGTTGATTACGATTTATTCAAAATTTACCAAGAATGGGTCAATATAAACACGTGGATTTCCCAGTTAACAAAAAATGAATAAAAAAAAAATTACGAAATACAAATACCTACAATGTTGTTTGTTCCTTGGCAATATATTTTCTTAAAATAACTTAAGCCAGATGTCATAAATGATTGAAGGATATGTTCGACTGACTAAATCAACAACGGCTATCTACGCACTATTGCCGAAATTATCAGTTATAGTATCAATATATTTGCAATATATTTGTCTCCATTAAAAAACTGGTGGCGTTAGCTAAGAGACATATTAAAAGAGGATTCGCTTGCAAATGTTTTTTCTTTTTATTTTTCAAAGTTAATATGTGTATTAGGATTGTCGTATAGATCGTAAAACGACTAAAATGTAGCTAATCATCCCCATCAACAATAGGATGACGCCATCTCCCAAATTTACTTTAACAAATATTTAAATTCTACGAAATATGAAACTCCTGCAGATGTGGTTTATAAATCCGCGTTGAGTTTTACCCTAAACATCTAGATTTTTTCGAAAAAATTTAAAATTGTATTTTACAATTTAATTTTAATATTGAAAAAACCGAATGTTATGAAATCAAATTTTTTGAGATGATTGGAATCATGTAAATCATTAATGAAAATGGGATGTTATTTACATCACTGGTTTTTACTTTACGGGTTATCAGAAAACGAAAATCGTAAAATCAGATTTATGATTTTTTAAAGAAACAAGATTTGTCGCTGAAGGAAGTTCTGTCGAAATAATCTTCTACTAATTTTTTTTATCGTGACAAAATTTGTAATATTCTTTTCCATTTTTAATTAACATTTCCATAAATTGATAGAAACGTTATTGAAAAAAATCCCTCGCCCCTGAAGTACAGCCAAAGAAACACCGTTTTTTCTGGAAAATTGTAAAAGAAAATTTTTGGAATATTTAATCATCTATACTCCGTCACTGTCTGATTCAAGTGTATTATATTACGAAAACACACTTGTTCATATTTAGTCTGGAGTGACCAAGATAGGAAACAGATTAACAATTGTCCAAAATTATGAATATATTGATAAAGATAGAATCTATGCTATGATAGTGACTTTCCTCGTTTGAGAATTCTTCGATCAATATTATTTCAGCAAGGACACGTCTGTCAAATCCGACACGTGCAGTGTAGTACTAATAAAAAAACACGGAGGAGAGCACCGTTCTTGAGATTTGATCAATAAAAAAATATAATAGATAGTAGCAATAAAAAACAATCGCTGTTTCATTTGGACCAAATACTAGGTGTCTGGAAAATGGCGCAATAACTCTTCAGTATTTTTTTCTTTATGCTGTAGATTACGAAAAAGTATATATATACCTTCGGCTTACCGGCTTACTTTCTGATTTCTTTTTGATCACTCATTTTATTGATCGAAAAAAGACTGCTCGACCTCCCGATTTCTCGATTTTTTCAATTTTTTGAATCTTCAATTTTTGGTTTTTTTTTTTACCTTTTCGAGTTTTTGATGTTTCGATTTCTCTATTTTTCAATTTCTCCATTTTTTAATTTTCTGTTTCGATTTTTCAGTTTTCTAATATTTCTGTTATTCGATTTTTCAATTTTTGTCGTTTCTAAAATTTCGATTTCTCGTTTAATCGGTATTTTCAACTTTTCGATTTCTGGATTTTTTGACTTTCCAACTTTTCGATCTTTCCAATTTTTGATTTTGCCCGTTTATCGACTTCTCGAATGTTCAGTTTTCCAATTTATCAATTTTTCATTTCTTCGATTTTACAGGTTTTTGATTTTATAATTTATTGATTTTTGAAATTTTCGATTTTTCGATTTATCTGTTTTTAATTTCATTGTTTTTTTTTTATTTACAACGAGATGAATATGGGATTTTAGTTCAGTAAGTGGTAAAATCTACGATTTAAAGAAAACTTCAAAGTGACCCCGCCCACCCACCCGATGACTTATTTTATTGAACGAAAAAAGAGTATTAGCTATGTCGTTAAATAGTAGAATCTAGACAAAAAAGACAAAATTAACCCCACCCACCTTCGGTTTTGAATTTCATTGGTTTATTTTATGTACTGTGAGTTGCAAATTAGATTTAATTTTAGCAAGTGATAGAATCTACATTTCAAAAAAACTTCAAAGTGGCCCCGCCCACCCACACAGTTTTCTTTTTGATCACTCATTTTATTGGTCGAAAAAAGGCTGCTCGACCTCTCGATTTCTCGATATTTTCAATTTTTTGATTTTTCAATTGTTGTTTTTTCTTATCTTTCCGAGTGTTTGATGTTTCGATTTCTCTATTTTTCAATTTTTCCATTTTTTAATTTTCTGTTTCGATTTCTCAGTTTTCTAATATTTACACGATTTTTCAATTTTTACATTTTTCGATTTTTCAATTTTTGTCGTTTCTAAAATTGGGAATTTCTCGTTTAATCGATATTCTCAACTTTTTGATTTCTGGATTTCTGACTTTCCAACATTTCAATTTTTCCATTTTTTTCATTTTGCCCGTTTATCGACTTCGCGAATGTTCAGTTTTTCAATTTATCAATTTGTCATTTCTTCGAGTTTACAGGTTTTTGATTTTCCAATTTATTGATTTTTGAAATTTTCGATTTTTCGATTTATCGGTTTTTAATTTCGTTGTTTTTTTTTTATTTACAACGAGATGAAAATGGGATTTTAGTTTAGTAAGTGGTACAATCTACGATTTAAAAATAAAAACTTCAAAGTGACCCCTCCCACCCACCCGGTTTTCTTTTTAATCACTCATTTTATTGAACGAAAAAAGAGTGTTAGCTATGTCGATAAATAGTGGAATCTAGACAAAAAAGAAAAAATTAACCCCACCCACCTTCGGTTTTGAATTTTATTGGTTTATTTTATGTACTGTGAGATGTAGATTAGATTTAATTTTAGCAAGTGGTAGAATCTAGATTTAAAAAAAACTTCAAAGTGGCCCCGCCCACCCACCCGGTCTTCTTTTTGATCTCTCATTTTATTGAACGAAAAAAGAGTATTAGGTATGTCGATAAATAGTAGAATCTAGACAAAAAAGACAAAATTAAACCCACCCACCTTCGGTTTTGAATTTCATTGGTTTATTTTATGTACTGTGAGATGTAGATTCGATTTAATTTTAGCAAATGGTATAATCTAGATTTTAAAAAAACTTCAAAGTGGCTCCGCCCACCCACACGGTTCTCTTTTTGATCACTCATTTTATTAGTCGAAAAAAGACTGCTCGACCCCTCGATTTCTCGATTTTTTTCAATTTTTTGATTTTTCAATTATTGTCTTTTTTACCTTTTCGAGTTTTTGATGTTTCGATTTCTCTATGTTTCAATTTTTCCATTTTTTAATTTTCTGTTTCGACTTCTCAGTTTTCTAATATTTCAGTTATGCGATTTTTCAATTTTTGTCGTTTCTAAAATTTCGATTTCTTCGTTTAATCGATATTTTCAACTTTTCGATTTGTGATTCTTCAATTTTTGTTTTTTTTACCTTTTCGAGTTTTTGATGTTTCAATTTCTCTATTTTTCATTTTTTCCATGTTTTAATTTTCTGTTTCAATTTCTCAGTTTTCTAATATTTCTGTTATACGATTTTTCAATTTTTGTCGTTGCTAAAATTTCGATTTCTCGTTTAATCCATACTTTCAACTTTTCGATTTCTCGATTTTTTGACTTTCCAACTTTTCGATTTTTCCATTTTTAATTTTGCCCGTTTATGGACTTCTCGAATGTTCAGTTTTTCAATTCATCAATTTTTCATTTCTTCGATTTTACAGGTTTTTGATCTTCCAATTTATTGATTTTTGAAATTTTCGATTTTTCTCTTTATCCATTTATAATTTCATTGTTTTTTTTTTTTATTTACAACGAGATGAAAATGGGATTTTAGTTTAGTAAGTGGTAAAATCTACAATTTAAACAAACCTTCAAAGTGACCCCGCCCACCCACCCGATGACTTATTTTATTGAACGAAAAATGAGTATTAGGTATGTCGATAAATAGTAGAATCTAGACAAAAAAGACAAAATTAACCCCACCCACCTTCGGTTTTGAATTTCAGAGGTTTATTTTATGTACTTTGAGATGTAGATTAGATTTAATTTTAGCAAGTGGTAGAATCTACATTAAAAAAAAATTCAAAGTGGCCCCGCCCACTCACCCGGTTTTCTTTTTGATCACCCATTTTATTGGTCGAAAATAGACTGCTCGACCTCCCGATTTCTCGATTTTTTCAATTTTTGATTTTTCAATTTTTGTTTTCTTTACCTTTTCGAGTTTTTGATGTTTCGATTTCTCCATTTTTCAATTTTTCCATTTTTTAATTTTCTGTTTCGATTTTTCAGTTTTCTAATATTCCTGTTATACGATTTTTCAATTTTTAGATTTTTCTATTTTTCAATTTTTGTCATTTCTAAAATTTCATTTCTCGTTTAACCGATATTTTCAACATTTCGATTTCTCGATTTTTTGACTTTCCAACTTTACGATTTTTTTATTTTTTGATTTTGCCCGTTTATCGAGTTCTCGAATGTTCAGTTTTTCAATTTATTTTATTTACTGTCAGAAGAAAATTAGATTTAATTGTAGAAAGTGGAAAAATCTACGATTTAAAAAATCTTCAGTGAGGCCCCGCCCACCCACCCGGTTTTCTTTTTAAAAACTCTTTTTTTTTGGCATTTAAAAGCGGCATTAAAAAAAACATTCTGAACGGTTTATATTTAAGGTTAAGATTATGAATTGTGTCAGGAACTTAACCATTGTTGCCATTTTAAATATCTTCATGAACATTATTATAAAAATTTAATAATTAAACTTTCCAACTTTATAATTTTGTTGAAGATTTATATAAAACTTAGAAATTATTTTTTAAATGAATTATTATTGAAGAAAAGTGGTAAACAAACAATGGCCTACTTACTTCTAAAAAGCTCGTGAATGTAATACAGTTAATAATAATCAGAATAATTATTCGCTTGAAATGGTCCCTTGTTAAAGTAAAGATACACACACAAAGTTTAGATTTTATCTGTTCAACTTTGTCGTAAACAGAGCGTCATCAATCATGTTTAATTCTCTAGATTTCTCGCCTTTCTCTCATGTGCCTCTGTGACCCTCCAGCTTAACAACAAATGCCACTTTCAACCCATTTCTTCCAAAATACACAAACATTTGCCATTACTTTTATAATCTCTGATATAATTTTAAGTACCCTTTTCATTAATAATAAACACTACTTGACTTAAATATTTAAGTCATCCACAAAGTTTACCTTAACCCAAGAAAGAAATTTGCACTTACGAGTCGGATTTTTAATAAACCTCACGCTGAAGCCAAAACTTGTCCCTTTGGCTGGCATCCGATATTGTATAAGCGCCACATTCTGCGAGCTCTTAAACGTCTGTTTGACTTTCCTCTTGCCGCAGAATTCGGTAAATCGCGAATTCATGGGCAGAGGATGATCCGAAGGGCTGGGGAAAAACTCGCCATTCAGCTCCCAGCCGTCCACGAACTGAAAGAAAACTCAAATTAGGGAAAAATGTAATTGTTGTGCCGGTTATGAAAAGCTGTAATGAAAATCCCGCTGATTGAAAAATAATTGGATGAGAAGGAAATGGGATTTTTCGGCTCTTACCGACACTAAGCCTCCGTTCTCGCAAGGGACGTCTAAGTAGCTGAAGTGGACCTCGATGATCTCGTCGGGCTCGCTGAAGATGTACGCTCCGCAGGCTGTACCATCGGCTAAGGTGGATTTGTGGTAGAAGTCGCCTTCATCCGATGTCATAAATATGCAATCTGGAAGTTTATGGGGGTTTTATGGAGGAGTTATTGCAAATTTTGTCTGGGGGATGTGTGATGGACGTGGGATGGATTTATGGGGAGTGTGGGAGGTGAAGCTAATTTTCAGAAAAAAATGGATGCTAGTGTAACTGCTGTTGGATTTTTTGAAATATTTAAATAGCGAAAAGAAAACCTTGAAACCTTTTCCATTCTTGTCTTTATTCGAATTATTTTATTTCATTCTAATTAACCATGAATGGCGGGGTATATTATTTTTCTTCTGTTTTTAAAATTAAAACTTCACGAAGTAAGTTGCCTCGCCTCCATTCTTCTTTTGATAAAGTTTGTAATTTGGTGGCGGAAGTTTTTTAAAAGCTGGTATTTATAACTAAATTAAAAAAAAGTTATTTTTAGCAGATACGAACTTAGCAAACCATTCATAAAAGTCTTTGAAACAACTTATTTTTCTCAGAATTTATCAATAATTCCAATCTACAGAGAACATTGTAGGAAAAGTCAAATTTGGTTGTGATTTTATTGTTGTTAATTATAAGTATTGTAATCGAGCCCATTGGCCGACTCATTACTCTTGTGTTTTTTTTAACGTTTCATGACCCGCCAGAGTACGAAAAAATAGGTCTTTCGTTTCCGTCTGTCTATCTGTCTATCTGTCTGTATGTCTGTCGCCATCTCGAAATTTTGTCGAATAAATCCCCTCTGAAATACGCAAAATACTATGACTCTATTTTCAGAATTTTATAACACGGTTTTTCGTTTTTTCTCTTCCTTTATTTCTTCAATGTTTCTGTTCCTTTAATTTTTCAATGTTTCTTTTTTCAATATTTAACTTTTTCGAGTTTTGAATTTTTTAGTGCTTCAATTTTAAGGATAATGCCACTGCTAGAGCTATGGATTTCTCGATTTTTCAGTTTTTTGATTCTTCAGTTTTTAAATTTTTCAGATTTCTGGGTTTTCTAGTCTTTGATTTTTAAAATTTTCGAATTTTCGACTTTTAGATTTCTCGATCTTTCAATTTTTCGATCCCTCAATTTTTTTCCAGTTATCAGTGTTTCGATTTATCCATTTATCTATTTTTCGATATTTCAGTTTCGGAATTTTTTAACATTCGATTCTTACATTTTTCGATTTTTCCTTTTCTCACCTTTTCAGTTTTTTGATGTTTCGGCTTCTCTATTTTTCAGTTTTTCCATTTTCTAAATTTCTGTTTCGATTTCTCAGTTTTCTGATATTTCCGATTAACAATTTTTCAATTTTTCGATATTTTCAACGTTCCGATTTCTCGATTTTTTCACTTTTCATATTTCCGATTTTTTTCATTTTTTTTTATTTTGCCCGTTTTTCGGTTTTTAATTATCAGTTTTTCATTTCTTAGATTTTACAGGTTTTTGATTTTCTACTTTATTGATTTTTAAAATTTTCGATTTTTCGATTTATCGATCTTTCACTTTTTCGTCGCCTCAATATTTGTTCCATTTATCAGTTTTTCGATTTTTCGATTTATCAATTTATATATTTTTGATATTTCCAGTTTGACATTTTTGAACATTTCCATTCTTACACTTTTCTTTTTTTTCGGTTTTTCGTTTTTTTGCATGTTCGACTTTTTGATGTTTCAATATCTCTATTTTTCAGTTTTTCCATTGTTTAATTTTCTGTTTCGATGTCTCAATTTTTTGATATTTCTGTTTTACGATTTTTCAATTTTTCAATTTTTCGATTTTTCGATTTTTCAATTTTTGTCCTTTCTAAATTGTTGACTTCTCGATTAATCGATTTTTAAAATTTTCGATTTCTCATTTTTTAACTTTTCAACTTTTCAATTTTTCCATTTTTTGATTTTGCCTGCGTATTGACTTTTTCAATTTTTAGTTTTTCGGTTTTTTAATTTTCCAATTTTTAGATTTTTGGATTTATGTAGGTTCCGATGCTACAATTTTTCGATTGTTCATTTTCCCGATTTTTCAATCTTTCGATTTTTCTATTCATCGATTCTTCAAATTTTAAATTTTCAAATGTTTCAATTTTTTAATGTTTCGAATTTTCGATTTTATGCAATTGTGATTCCTAGTGTTTTCGATTCTTCGACTTTTCGTTTTTGATGTCCTGATTTTGCAAGATTTCAGTTTACGATTTTTGAATTTCTAGAATTTTCAATTTTTCGATTCATCAATTTTTTGATTTTTTAAATTCTTACTATTCTCGATTTTGCATTTTTTTTAATTTTTAAATTTTTCAACTTTTATCTTTCCATTTTCCAATTTTTCGGTTCTTCAATTCTCAAGTTCTGGATTGCCAATTTTTAGATATTTATACTTTTTCGTTTTTTCATTTTTGATTTTTCAGTTTTACAATTTTGCAATTTTTTCATTTTTATGATTCGAAAATTAAAAAACCTAAAAACTGAAAAAAACAAAAATTTCAAAATCGAAAAAATGGAAAATCCAAAAATTTCTAATCGACGAACTGAAGAAACGAAAAATTGAAACACTAAAAAACTAAATATCAAAAAACTTGAAATTCGAAAAAAATTCATGCATTGGAAAATTATAAGAAAGAAAAAACGAATCGAACGGAAAATTGGAAAATCCAAAAATTATAATGTCCAAAAAATGTAATACTGAACGATCGAAAAACTCAAAAATTAAATTAATATAGCTTTCTCAGTTTTCTAATAATTCCGTTCTACGATTTTTCAATTTTTCCATTTTTCGATTTTTGTCGCTTGTAAATTTATTATTTCTCGATAAATCGATTTTTTCAACTTTCAGATTTTTCGATTTTTTGACTTTTCAACATTTCGATTTTTCCATTTTTGAATTTGCCTGCTTATTGATTTCTGCAATTTTCGGTTTTTCAGTTTCTCAAATTTTCAATTTATCAATTATTCAATTCATAAATTTTTCAATTTAACAAATTTTCAATTCATCAATTTTTCAGTTCTTCGAGTTTACAAGTTTTTGGTTTTTCAATTTTTTGATTTTTAAAATTTGATATTTTTTCGATGCTACAATTTTTCTTGGACTTTTTAATATCTCGATTTTTAGATTTATCAATTTATTCGTTTTTACATATGTATTTCAATTTTGGGGTGTTTCAAGATTTCGATTCTTAAATTTTTCGATTTTTCGTCCTGATTTATGGATTTTTAAAAATTTTACCTTTTCGATTTTTCGATATTTTAAGTTTCGATTTTCCGTGTTTTAGCTTTTTCGACTTTTCGATTTTTCGATTTTTCCGATTTTTAGTTTTTCTATTTTTCTGTTTTAATTTTTCGAATTTTTAATTTTTAATTTTTTTAATTTTTCTGAATGTTTCGATTTCTCTACTTTTCGGTTTTAGATTTGTCGATTTTTAAATTTTTCGAATTTTTAATTTTTTCGAATTTTTTTTTTTCAAATTTTTTATTTTTTGGTTTTTCAATTTTCCAATTTTCAGATTTTTGAATTTATATAGGTTTCGATGCTACAATTTTTCGATTATTCATTTTCCTGATTTTTCAACCTTTCGATTTTTAAATTTTAAATTTTCAAATGTTTCAATTTTGTAATGGTTCGAATTTTCGATTTTATGCAGTTGTGATTCCTAGGATTTTCGATTTTGATGTCCTGATTTTGCAAGATTTCAGTTTGGGATTTTTGAATTTCTCGAATTTAAAATTTTTCGATTCATCAAATTCTTACTATTCTCGATTTTGCATTTTTTTGATTTTTAAATTTTTCAATTTTTATCTTTCCATTTTCCAATTTTTCGGTTCTTCAGTTTTTCAAGTTCTGAATTGCCAATTTTTAGATATTTATACTTTTTCGTTTTTTCATTTTTTATTTTTCAATTCTACAATTTTGCAATTTTTTCATTTTTATGATTCGAAAATTAAAAAACCTAAAAACTTAAAAACCAAAAATTTCAAATTCGAAAAAATGGAAAATCCAAAAATTTCTAATCGAAGAACTGAAGAAACGAAAAATTGAAACACTAAGAAACTAAAAATAGAAAAACTTAAAATTCGAAAAAAATTCATGCATTGGAAAATTGTAAAGAAGAAAAACGAATGTCCAAAAATGTAACATTGAACGATCGAAAAATTCAAAAATTAAATTAATATAGATTTCTCAGTTTTCTAATATTTCTGTTTAACGATTTTTCAGTTTTTCGATTTTTCAATTTTTGTCGCTTCTAAATTTTTGATTTCTCGATTAATCGATTTTTTCAATTTTCCGATTTTTCGATTTTTTGACTTTTCAACATTTCAATTTTTCCATTTTTGATTTTGCCCGTTTGTCGACTTCTCGAATTTTCAGTTTTCAATTTACCAATTTTTCAATTCTTCGATTTTACAGGTTTTTGATTTTTCAATCTTTATTTTTAATTTTCGATTTCTCGATCTTTCGGTTTTTCGATGCTTCAATTTTTCTTGGACTTTTAATTACTCGATTTTTCGTTTTATTTTATTTATTAATTTTTCGATACTTCCGTTTCAACATTTCGATTTTCAAATTGTTCAATTTTTCGTCTCGATTTTTAGATTTCTTATTTTTTTACCTTTTCGATCTTCGAATTTTTCGATTTCTCGACATCTTAACTTTGGATTTATTGCATTTTGCATATTTTTTAATTTTTTGATGTTTCCATTTCTCTGTTCTCAACTTCTCGGTTTTAGATTTTTGGATTTTTCAATTTTTCGATTTTTAAAAATTGCTTTTTCGATCTTTCAATTTTTCGGTTTTTAAATTTTTCGGTTTTTTAATTTTTCAATCTTTCGATTTATCGATTTATATAAGATTTTTATGTTTGGATTTTTCGATTGTTAAATTTCTCGATTTTTCGAATTTTTAAATCTCAATTTTCAAATGTTTTAATTTGTAATTTTTCCAATTTTTGACTTTTCGCATTTTTGATTTACTGATCTTTCAATTTTTCTGTTTCAACATTTCAATTTTGAAAGATTTCTGTTTGGAATTTTTCAATTTCCCAATTTTTTTTCCATTCATCAATTTTTCGGTTTTTTAAATTCTTACATTTTTCGATTTTGCACTTTTTCGATTTTTAAGGTTCTCAATTTTTAATCTTTCGATTTTTCAATTTTTGTCTCTCAAATTTGTCAAGTCCTTGATTTCCAATTTTTAAATCTTTAAGTTTTCCCTTTATACTTTTTTATTTTTTCATTTTTGATTTTTCAATTTTAAAATTTTGCAATTTTTCCATTTTCATGTTTCAAAAATATAAAGACCTACAAACTGAAAAAAGCAAAAGTCGCAAAATCGAAAATTTTCCAATCGAAGAACTGAAGAAACAATAAAAATCTAAAAATCGAAAAATTGAAAAAAAGAAAAAAACGAATCGAATGGAAAAATTGCAAAATCCAAAAATTATACAATCGATAAACTGTAAAAGTAAAAGATCGAAAAATTGAAAAATTAATTGTCGAGAAATGGAAAAATTAAAAATCGAAAAATTTAAGATCCGATTTATAGAAAGCGAATTTAAAGTTAATTCGCGATTAACTTTTAACTGAGGTCCGTTACTAGGAAACGTGCATGTTTCAACCAATCACGGGCTCATTCCACATTTTAATTCTCTGTTAAACTAATCGAGGATTAAATATTTATAAATATGCTGTTCTATAAACCGGCCCTTATTAAAGTCGAAAATTTTTTATAATTATTAGATTCATATGTAATTAAAAAAAATTGAAAACTAGGAATACTACAGATCAAAAATTGAACAATCTAAAACTGAATAAACGAAAAATTAAAAAATCCAAACGTCGAAAAATCGAAAAATTGAAAAACCCAAAAACTGAAAAATTTCACATTGAAAAAAAATTATAAAACCCAATTATTGAAAATCCGAAAAATTGATGGAATGAAAAATTGGAAAATCGAAAAACTGAAGAATATAGAAATGAAAACTCGAAGATTTGCATATCGTAAAATTGAAAACACGAAAAAAAATAAAAATTAAAAAATTGTAAATCGAAAAATTAAAGAAACAAAAAGCTGATATTGAGAAAACAAAAAATTAATTAAAAATTCCAAAAAATCTGAAGCGCAAAGTTGCAAATCAAAGATTTGAAGAAATGAAAAACTAAAAATTGGAAAAATTGAAAACTCGAGATATTTTAAATCGAAAAATTGCAAATCTCAAATTCGAGAAAACAAAAAACATGAAAAATTGAAAAATCGCAAACCGAGAAATTAAAGAAAAATTAAATAAACAAAAAATTATAAAACCAAAACATTGAAAAATGGAATAATTCAAAAAAATAAAGAAAAAACGAAACGAATCATTGCAAATCGAAACATTTAAAAATTAAAAATGAAACTCGAGAAACTCAAATCGAAAAATTGCAAAATCTAAAAATTGGAAAACTGAAAAACCGAAAAATTCAAACTTAAAAATCCGAAAAATTGCAAATACTGATGAAACAAAAAAACCGACCAATTTTCGTGTACATGGATGATCTTTTGCAATAAAAGCATCAATAACTAAGTTCTGTTAAGGTATCATTAAGGGTATTGGCAAAGTCGTTGAAAAAGTAGGTTAAATTGTTCTTAATTCGATTTAATATCGATCAATAATAGTGCTCCATTTGTAACAATATAATATCAAATGATTATATTTCGCTTTACAAAAACCTGAATTTGTGAGAAACCACCCTTATAATTTTTTTCTTTACTAATACGATTTAAAACTTCTGAAAACCCCAACAACATGTAAATTGAACGAGTTTTTAGAAATCTTGCTCAATATAAAACCCTTAAAAAAAATTATCAAATGCATTAACCTAAGTGCTTGCCCGCTGAACCCACCCCTGCTTTTCAACTTTTTCATCTCCTGCAAAAACGCATCTAAAATATCTCCAAATAACCCCTCGAGCTTTATTAATGCGTGCATCGTCTTATAAAAAATCCCATTTCAGCGCCATAATTTCCGACCAGAAAGTGGAATTTCAGCAAATAAAAATATTTTTATTCAGGTATTTGCAGCATGTGTATTGAGGTGCAGATTGTCGCATTTTCAAGTGATATATGAATAGATGAGGATACTTTGAATTGATATCTATAAGGGTCTTAAGGGTGAAAATGCGTGATTGATGTTCTTAGCATTTAAAGCATTTATCTGTGAAAAAACCTGTAATTGGAGTAACAGCGTTTTCAGGTTCTCTCTATTATCGTGAATGTGGCATTGTAGGTGGAGAGTAGGCGTAATAAAGCTCACCTGCCAAGTTCACTACAAACACTGTTATTAATAACGATTAACATGAAATTGTGTTGCTTCTAATATAATCCGGAGCGATTTAATACTAATGAAATTATTATTACCCTGTCCAAATGAAAAGTGAGTTTCTTACCAGTGATTATATGGTCTGACGTCCTTTTCGAACGTGCTTGAGCTAATGGTCCTCTAATTAATTGTTTCTCTAAATGGGCAGAATTCAAAATGCGTTTGGAAAGAACCTGCAACAATTAAAAAAATATATCACAATACAAAAAAATCATATAACCTAACCAACTAACGCAAAACTTCGTAATCAACCTTTCCAACACGGCTGAAACCGCCGGAAGAAATTTTCCTCTTTCAGATTACCACGCCGAACTCCTTTAAAACTTATAATATCGGGGATAATAATCTCAACAAGCGCTTTCATCTTGACACAGATTAACAAAGTAGTTTCATTATGATTGAAACAAAACCAAAAGTGAAGCAGTTCGAAGTTTACTGTTTATTTTCAGGTTTTCGTAAAAGCAACATTCCATTTTCATCAGAATAGCGTCGATAATGGCAGTCTAAAATTAAAATGGCGTGGAGATTGGAAGGGACATAACATGATAAAAACGTCCGAACACATCAGAGAGAGGCAATTTTTTTGGGTCGAAAGTTCGGGAAGGAATTGGAAGGTGTCATGATGCAGCAAAAAATCTGACAATTTAATTTCATGCAAAAGCGTATCCGACAGTGCGGGGGAGGCTGCATTTTTTTGAGGGTGTATTGTGTCTGTTGTGTCCAATTTATTTTATGGTATATGAAATCCTCTGCAAAATTATCGTACATATTTTTTTTTTAGACAATTTGTTTTAGTAACTTTAAAAAATAAATTCGTATTATTAAGCAAGCAATTTAGGCATTTTTTTAATAAAGATTTACTTCAAAATAATCCAAGATAGCGTGGGTTGCACTTTAAGGAGAAAATTCACTTTGGCTGTAAAATTTAATGCTAATCAAATGTTATTGTTATTTCAGAATCCAAGAAAAACAGACAATTTGTTTCGAAGAAATCGTAAAAGTTCATAAGCTAAATCATTCATTCGTGAAAAAAATAAATAAGTAAATAAAAGCAGCCTCCCACGTTTGTACATTTAAGCGATATTTATTTAAAAATAAGGTTTTACTTTCTCTTGAGGTAGGATTTTCACAGTATAAGCTAGTCAAGGATTAATATTATAACTTCATACTTTGTCAGATGATCTTGCTGTGTATTTTTGACTCGTGGGGAGAAAGCTTTTAAGATAAGGAAGCCGTGGATTAAGTTATTAACACTTTAAAGACAAAGAGTAGCCAAAATCTTTGTAACTAAATTTACTTCACCCACATTTAATTTAAGCAATAAAAATTTTACATCATTTGTACTTGTTGGGTAAATTTTACATAAAGAAAATTAAATCAAAATTAAATACAAAATTGTCTAAAGTAAACTTTATTTAATAATTTTCCTTACTCTTTTTCAAAAGTCTATAACTAGAATTAATTCAGCCTAATAAAATGGATTTTATGAGCTTTTCCAATTGTCTTTAAAAGTTAAAATTTTTTAAACGTTTTTGAAAACACACTACATGTGATTTTTTGTTGTTAAATGGCACACACTGTATATTATAACTGACTAAAACCCTCTAAGATATTTCAAAAATTGTGTGCTACTTTAGGTAATTAATAACACAAATGTAAAATGTCTAACTTATTTTTCTGGACTTATAAGAGCTAAGAGTAAAAAACCGATCTAGAAAGAAATTTCTTAGACAAATTATAAAAATTGCTTAAGTGAAATCTACAAGTTAGTATAAAAAAATACCAAGAGCCCCAAATTGCTTTTAAATTCTTTCAAAAATAACCCAGACACACAATTTTTCGCTCTCTTCCCTCCAGAACTTCTCATTATTCTTGTCATTCATTTCCTGAAGATATACATTACGAAAGTAGGAGAAACGTTAAAACGTTTTTCAAATTTTATAGTTAATGTTTGTGGCCGTGAAAATCTTCAATTCCATTTCATTTTTCGCATTTTTCCAAAAATAAAACCCTAAGAGCTCACATGATTCTTTCACAAACTTAACAAAAAATTACACCAAAGTTTTCCAAGATTCTTTGACACGCTTAAAAAAGACACTTGGGACATCTAAGACCCTTTCAAAAATTTCAAAAACCAAACTTCGGCAGCGTCCAAAAGCTTTTTAAAAGAAAAACAATAATTCTTTGTTTCTTTCTTTCACCTAAGACTCTTTCGTATGTTTTTTCACGTTCTTAAAAGAACCACGGGTTCTCAAGATTCTTTTAAATTATTATTTCTAAAACAAAATACGTTTCATTTTATTTTCTACTTTATTATTAACAAATATTGCGGAAAATATGTTGTGTTAGTGCTGTGAACACGAACGAAAATGGATATTTTTCCGAAAAGGACCGAAAACGGGGTAAGTACGATTTCAGTTTTAATTTATTGAGTTCGGTGATTCGTTTACTCGACAATGTTTAAATTGTGGGAAGATTTTCGAAACGATTGAAATTGGTTGATCAAAGCTATGCATTTTCACGATATAAATAAATAAATTTTAAACATAATTAATATCATTTATAATGTTTAAATATGATGAGCATCAATATACGATAATTAAACCGAAACTCGTTTTCCTACAAACCCGAAATTATTAAAAACAAATCAATTTGTTTAAACAATGTTAAATTATCCCCGAAAATGTGCATTTTCCCGGCCAAAATATGAAAAATAAATTTTGCAGTCTCATCGTGACGTACGATGACGTCAATGTCACGTGAGCTACCTGTATAAAGGTCACGTTTTGCGGTCCTTTGTGTTCAGTATTAATTTCTGTTTGATGGCGGCAAGATCGTCGCGTCATTTTGACGTAAAAGTGGAGCGTTTTAGCGGATTTCAAGTTTATTATTAATACATATTAAGGAAAATTTGTTGTGTTATTTTTCCGAAAAGGACCGAAAACAGGGTAATTACGACTTCAATTTTAATTTATCGGATTCCGTGATTCGTTTACTCGACAATGGTTACATTTTGGATAAATTTTCGAAACGATTGAAGTTGGTGGGTCAAAGCTATACATTTTCGCGATATAATTAAACAAAATTTAAACATAATTAATATAATTCATCATGTTTAAATATGATAACTATTAATATATGATAATTAAACAGAAAACCATTTCCCGAAGAACACGAGGTTAGCAAAAACAAATTAGTTGTTAAATTAACCCCGAAAATGTACAATTTCTGAGCGAAAATATGAAAAATTATTTCTGCAATCTCATCGTGATGTACGATGACGTCACTGTCACGTGAGCCACCTGATAAGAGGTCACATTTTCGATCCTTTGTATTCAGTTTTGACTCCGGTCTGGTAGCAGCAACACTGGAACTCATTTTGGATTAAAAGTTACACGGGTTCGCGAATTTCTAATTATTTGTTAATAAATATTAGCAAAAATGCTTTGTGTTAAGTGCTGTGAACGTCGGTAGCCTTTCTTTCTTTCTTCCTTTTTTCTTTTTTCGTTTCTTTGTTTCTTTCTTTATTTCACCTAGGACTCTTTCAAACTCTTACACATTGAAATCCGTTTCAAATTTGATAAGGTACAAATCCGGAACACTTTTTCTGTTTTCGATTCCATTTCGTTTGTTACCTTATTTCAAAAATGAACCACAGAGTCCCCAAGATTCTTTCGTAGTCTTAAAAAAAAACACCAAGGACTTCCAAGATTCTTTCACAATCTTAAAAAAGACACCAGGAAGTGTCTAAGGACTTTTTCAAACTTTTTCAAAAACAAAACATCGCCAGCTTCCAAAATCTTTTCAAATTTAGAATGACGTTTCTCTTCGGTTTCGCTCTGTTCTCTCCAGAACTTTTCTTTTTTTTTGTCGTTCATTTCCTGAAGATATCTCCACCGAAAGTGGAAGAAACGTAGAAACCTTTCTCAAATTTAATAGGGTACAAACCTGGAACACATTTTCTTCGATTCGATTTCATTTTATACATTCTTCCAAAAATGATCCACGAGGAGCCCCCGAGATTCTTTCGCAGTCTTAAAAAAAGTCACCAAGGACTTCTAAGAGTTTTCCACGATCGTAAAAATCAACAACAGAGAGCCCCATAAACCTTTCACATTCTTAAAAAAAGGACACTAGAAAGTTTCTAAAAAAATCTTTTCCAAAATTGTTCTAAAAAATCAAACACCAGAGGTCCCCACAATTTTTTCGTATTAATAGAAAGACGTTTTCCTTCGGTCTCCAGAACTTTTCGCTTTTCTTGTCGTTTATTTTGTGACGATGTCCTCAACGAAAGTGGGAGAAACCTGGAAACCTTTTTCAAATTTGATAAGGGGCAAACCCGTAACCCGTTCTCTATCGTTGTTTTTGGCCATGAAAATGTTCGATTCAATTTCATTTTTTACGTTCTTTCAAAAATGAACCACATGGAGCTCTCCAGATTCTTCCGCAGTCTTAAAAAAAGACACCAAAGACTTCCAAGATTATTTCACTGTCTTAAAAAACAACACCAGAGGCCCCCAAGAACCTTTCATATTAAAAAAAAAAGACACTAGGAAGTATCTAAGACCCTTTCAACCTTTTTCAAAAACAAAACATCGGCATCCTCCAAAATCTTTTTCAAATTGTTCCAAAAACAAAACCCCAGAGGTCCCCACAATTTTTCATATTAATGGAAAGACGTTTTCCTTCGGTGTCGCACTCTTCTCTCCAAAGCTTTTCGTTTTTTTTTGTCGTTCATTTCCTATAGATGTCTCCAAAAAAGTGGGAGAAACGTAGACACTTTTTTCAAGTTTGATAAGGTACAAACCCGGAACCCGTTTTCTGCTATTGTGTCTGGCCATGAAAATCTTCGATACCATATCATTTTTTAGATTCTTCAAGAAATAAAACACAATATTTTCACAGTCTTTTAAAAAAGGGCACCGAGGACTCCCAAGATCCTTTCACATTCTTAAAAAAAAACACTAGGAGCCATCAAAATTCTATCAAATTATTCTTAAGAAAATACTTTTTCAAACTGCATCAAAATCATATCTCAGAAACCTTCAAGATCTTTTCAGAAAGACATAAGTGAACTCAATATTCTTTCGCATTCTTAAAAAAAGACCAGGGGCTCAAAGGTTCATTCACATTCTTTAAAAAAAACAAAGAGCACCCAAATTCCTTTCACATT